GAGCTACTCGTGCCGTTTGCTCGACATACCAAGGAGGGGGGACTGAATGGGCCAGTCGCTGTCCTTGATCGAAAAGGGATCCTCCGACGGTTGGTAATCCTGCCTGATATCTCCACTGGTACAGATATACTCTTCCCGGTAGCTGAAGTATCGCGCTAGGAAAAGATTGTTCGTAAGTCCCAAAAAAATTATTCTAAAAAAAAAGGTCCCAACTGACAGTCGGTATAAAATCAGTTCCAGTAACTAAGGCAAGTTCAACGAAGTAGTCGGGTTCGAGAGTGGAAAAAAAAAAATTCGGAAAATAATTTTCAATAATTTCGTCAAGCTCGGAAAATTCGTCGCAGGGTGAACGGACCGGTGAGCCTTGCGAAAGAGAGCAGTGGATCGAATCCCAGCTACTACGCTACCCGTAGAGTAGGTGCAATAGTCGGTGCCTGGTCGGAGGAGTGAGTCGGCTAACGGGCCAACCAGACTGAAAGCGCCTTGATCTCTCGTACCGAGCGAGAATAAACGACCTAGCCTTTACACTCTTACCGTCGACATAGGTACCAGCCGTGCTCTCTGCGCGAGTTCAACGACCGGCAATTTTGTTTACGAAAATCTGAGCAGCAGCCTTCGGGCCTTACAACACGTAGGCGGCCGACTTACGGGCGGCCTCGGTTTGCAGTCGCGAATTCGAGGCCGCGACAGCGTGCGCCAGAGACCCAAAAGCGATGGAGAGGAGAAAGAAAAATTGTGCGAAAAAAAGATGCGAGTGACAGAGAACCGCGAGACCCCCGCCGCCCGGGGTACTAACGGAAAATCCAAGGACAACACGAAGAACCGAAATATCGCACTGTTTACCATGCAGAGGGATCTTATCGAATTTTCAGGAATTTCAAAATTTACGAAAATGTCTAATTTACAAAAAGTCTAACCTTTTAAGATGAATAAGCAAAATACTTAACAAAATATATATACACAGACACACACACACTGTACATACTTTGTGAACAGAAAATGCCATAATTTAGTAGCGAGTGGTAGCCTGGGGCCAGGAAAGCGAAGAATAAGTATAAAAGCAGGAGAACGAAAAAAAAGGGCCCAATAGTTCTGGGCATTAAAACGTACTACATCTCGAGCTCTCATTAACTTTCTATATCGTGATCTCGATGACGACTGATATAAATTCTTAATAAAAATAACAAAATTGCATAACACGAGCATACAGTATACTATATAACAGATGCATCCATCCCCATCGCGCCAACTTTAGATCCAAAAATATCGATATAGCTCTTCAAACCCAAAACCTATAAAATCAATTTATTCAATCTCGCGTGACAGACTATATCTTATACAAACGCCTCGTATCCTTCGCGGTTAAAGACTAATACCAACCCGTAAGTGATTTTCGAAATGCACAAAAATAACCATAAAGACACAGGAATCAATGTATGCACTACCCATTGAGATTTTTCATAAAATTACACGAATATTTTTCAAATGAAATTATACAGTGGCTTATCGCAACCCCCCCCCCCCCACCCACCCCC